GATGCGTCGTAAGCACCAATGATCGAAGACCCCGAGCTTCTTTGTATCTTTTACTCTTAGTGGTCATATTTTACTGTAATGCGGCTGGCTCCTTCGAGAGGATAAGCTAGCTCCAGACACGATCATGTTCAAGATCATGGAGTTCCTTGGGAGTTTGGTACAAGAGACGTCCCCAGCGTCACGGCTTTTTATTTTGAAGGCGCACCTCTAGCCCTTGCACAACCAAGTGCAAACTGCATCAAACACTGCTAAACGACGGATTTATTCTACCCGCAAGTTCAAGGTCTCGCAACCGTACAGCAGAACTGATCGGACAGTGTCGCAGTATACGCGACTTTTCAACTTCAATGAAACGTCACGTCGCCGCCACAATTGTTTCAGCCCTGCGTACGCTGCTCGAGCCTTAGAAATATGGGCGGTTATCTCCTTTGATGCGCTACTGTCGTTTGTCACCCAGTTACCCAAGTACGAGAAGTAGTCAACTTCAGCTAATTCCTGACCGTCTACTTTCAGAGCAGAACTCGGCGACACTCAGTCTTGTTGCATCACTTTACACTTTGAAGGTGCAAAGCACATGCCGAACGGAGCTTCAGAACCTGCTAATCTGTCAAGTACTCTTTGTGCATCTTCCATACATTCGAACAAGCAGACGATGTCGTCAGCGTACTCCAAATCGCACGGCTTTTCTCCAGCTGTCCATTCAACACCTACATTTTGGAGACCATTTAGTTTGTTCTCCAGTATTTCGTCTATGACGAAATTGAACAGGAATGACGAAAGAGGGCACCAATAACGAACACCGCTGCTAGTTACGAATGACCAACTCAGCTCGTCGTAGACCCTTACGCTACCAGAAGTATGTGAGTAGAATGAACTCAATATGTTCACATACTTCTGCGGCATTCCTTTGTGAAGAAGCGAACCCATAAGGGATTCGCGGTCAACTGAGTCGCGGATATTTGTCTCTCTAAACGGTGTCAGACGTCGAACTATGATGGAAGCTAGTAATTTAGTGACGATTGGGATCAAACTTATTCCACAGTGGTTTGCGCAGTCGTTGCGAGATCTCTTCTTAAAAATGGGAACAATCATTGATTTGCTCCAGGATGATGGAATGCGCTCATGTAACCATATTTTATGCATTAGATCACCAATGGAGTCTACGAGGCCATCGCCTCCCAACTTCAAAAGAATGGGAGGAAGCTCGTCCGGTCCTGCTGCTTCTCCTTTCTTCAGGGCTTGGATGCACGATCAAACTTCTGCTGCAGTAAGAGGTTCACNCACTTCCCATGGAGCCGCAACTACAACAGACGATATAGTCTGGTTAGCACGTGGCCAGCTAAACTGTTCGTTGAAGTACCCCGCCCACCGGTCAAGCCGTTGTTTCCTATTGTGAATAGCTTGTCCACTTTTGTCGCTGATTGTTTCACTAACTGTAGTTCTCAGACCCCCAGTGTTGCATATCAGTTGGGATATTCTTTGACTGTTCCCTGATGCAGCTGTGACTTCCATTTCACTAGCTATCCTTGCCCACCAGTTGTCACAATCTTTCTTGAAGGTCTTATTGAGTTGTCGTTACAGACGCCTCCTACCCGTGCCTTGATCCCGGTCGGTGGGAATTTGCCGCTTTTTATCCATCAATGCTACTGACTCANTATGCCCAGCGATCGAGTCGTTGATCCCTATTGTGAATAGCTCGTCCCCTCTTATCGCAGACTGTTTCACTAACTGGGGTTCGCCGAACTCCCGTATTGCGTATCAGTCAGAACAGTCTTTGACTATTCCCTGATGCAGCTGCTACATCCATTACACTAGCTATTGTTGCCCACTAGTTCTCATGGTCCTTCTTGCGGCTCCTCGTGAGCTGACGTTGTAGCTGCCGCCTAACTCTATTTTGATCCTGGCCGGTCGGGATTTGTGGTTTTTGCTCCATCAAGGCTACTGACTCTTGAGATATCCAATGCCTCCGATGGGTTTGAGGCTCGGACCCACAAGCAACATTCGCTGCGGAATGCATTGCTCGCCTAATCTGATCCCACTACTCACCTACATCATCACTTTGAGGGGTTTTTAGCTCACGCACTAGCTCTGATTTATAGCGCACACGAACTGCTAAAACAGATAGTCGATGATGAGCTATACGAGTTTGCTGCATTCGTCGCCGACCAGTCAGTCGGAGAGTAAACGGCATCAAAACTAGTGCGTAATCAGATTCAACGCAGGTGGTCCAATAGGACCTGCAATTTTGCACTGAGCCACGCCAACAGTAGCTTACTGCTAAGTGGTCTATTTGAGTTAGCGTACCAGTTGAACTGGAGCGCCACGTCGCCGTCCATCGAGAGCTATGTCGGAATTTGGC